AATCTCATGCGGTTAACCGATGCTTAACGGAGAGTTATCTTAACATTAGTAAACCGACTTAATTAAATGATTTGCTTGTTTTGGCGTTTTTTATAGAATAAGAGTGCACGAACAAACGAGCACACTTATCCTCAACTAAGAATCGAAATGCAGATGCGTTGTCACCCCTGAGGACTAAGATGGAATGCCTCGTTTCCAGTTATAAAAGGTCTCCGGTTCTCTACACTCACCATACGAAACACAGCAGCATTAGTTGCTATTTCACGCTGGTATTCTGTAAGAGCGTGGTCGTTTCGTGCTACAACCGTAATATAGCTGCAGTGTGGCTCTACCACGCAATTTTTTTTTAATATGGTCTTTATTTTTTATTTTTTAAGTATTGCTTATAACACTACTAGTACCTGTAATAAATACTCCAAGTAAGAATGGTTCCGACATTAGTCAGTTCCAAACACGACTATAGTTTCACTATCATCATCATTCTCTAAACCATTTCCCATTATCTAGGGTCGGCGCAGTAAATCTTCTTGTTCCATTCCTCTCTATCAGCCGTCATTTCCATACTTACTCCTTTCATTCTCATATCACTCTTCACACAATCGATCCATCTTTTATTCGGCCTTCCTCTGCCCGTGTGTCCCTCCACATTCATATTCAACACTCGTTTTGTGACATGACTTTCATCCCTCCGCATCACATGCCCAAACCATGCCAATCTGCTTCCTCTCACCTTTTCTACCACTTGCGCTACTTTCAGGCTTCCTCTTATATACTCATTCCTTATCTTATCCATCCTTGTCACACCACACATCCATCGTAACATTCTCATTTCATTCGCATGCAGTCTATTTTCATCCTTCTTCTTGACTATAGTTTCACTGTCCATATCCATATACCGTATCATAGTCGGCCTATTTCGTCCGGCGTGTGAAATGTAAGTGTTTTACACGACTGCCTCAAAAGGGAGGTAATGTTTTTCGGGTGTATGTGTGTTTTTATGTCTTTTCTTTCGTTGGGAGGGTCGACAGATTTTTTCACAGTCTGGTTCTTTAAATTAAGTTTTTAACCATTGGGCTTGTTTTGTATGTTAATAAGAACTTGACAATATGATTTTCAAACTACTAGTGCCGGTATTAGCATTGAAACTGAGTTGCCAATTTATACTTTAATACGACTCTACACTAGTAACAAAATAATATGTTAGTACTATGAATTGTAGCTTACGAAATGTCAGCCTTAAAATTTAATGGATGGATCAAATCGAGTGTGATTCTTTCAGATCAATGAATTTGTTACTTAAAATGAATAAAATAAAAATGTTTTATTTTCTAAGTGGTCTTATGTAGGTTTTTGTAAGATGAGTCCGGTACAGTTCGAAGCATAATAGAAGGCAGCCATTTTCGTTTGGTCCGAAAGACCATACAGTAACTTTTCTTGACATTATATGTCAAGCCATGACTGAAGGCGTGGTAGTTCATACAGTTAACAATTTCACTCAAACACAGATAGATGCATTTAACAACAACATGTCGTCAGCATAACTGATGTTTATTATAATTTAATGTTTACAACATGCTTGACGGTACAGGAAAGTCAACACACATAAAATCCTTGCCTAAAACCCTCTTAGGACAGTAAGGAACTTTACTGTTACTAAAAGGAGACATAAGTTTTGTTTAGTGTGCGTATAAAAAATCATAATGTGCCTATAAAAACACAAAAGCACATTTTACCGAAAATTGTTGCCATTAAAGTAAATTGACGGTAGCACAGAGTTGAGTGACGTGAATTACTCGAAAAAAACTATACAGTCTGTGTTAAGCTTTCAGGGTTACCAGCACAATGGCAATTTGACAGTTTTCTTTTTTAATTTATTCTCATATTATACATAGAATATTTTTAATTCATAACCATCACAGCCAGGCTTTACCCCAGAATGGGTTTTTGGGAGAAAATAAAAGTTACTAGCATGCTGGAAAGTTGTTTCTGTTTCTACGCGGTTGCTCAAAACGCGAGCAAAAGCAACTTATAGTTAATAAAATTTATTATTTATCGTTCAGTTGCATGTTGATAAGCTTATTAGGAAGGAAAAATAGTCACGTTTTGGTTTTATATTGGAAACTTTTTTCATATCGAATACTGGTGACAAACGAACACACAGTACACCTGATGTTATGTGAATGCTGTGGCCCATAGATGCAGATGCGTTTGCACCTGAGAACTAAAATGGAATACCTCATTTCCAGTTAAAAGGGTCTCCGGTTCTCCATACTTCATACATTTTTTACACGTGGTAGAGCCACACAGCAGCTATATTATGGTTGTAACATGAGTGGTTCGGCTCGATCGGGGAAGGACCACGCTCTCACAGAATACCAGCGTGAAATAGCATCTTTATACTGCTGTGTTTCGTATGGTGTGTGTAGAGATCCAGAGACCCTTTTTTACTGGAAACGAGGCATTCCATTTTAGTCCTCAGGGGTGACAACGCATCCGCGGTTTGATTCTTAATCGATGATAAATGTGGATGTCTATGGGCCAGAACTTCCACTTACCATCAGGTGGACTGTGTGCTCGTTTGTAATCCCTATTCTGTAAAAAAATACTCACCATAGGAAACACAGCAGTATTAAGCTGTGTTTCCTACGTGGTATATAATAAAATACTTACTTGACCTATCTGCTACTGTTAGTTATATTAGTCGCGCCTGTTAAAAGTTTTGAACATAAGCACAGAATAAATAACATAGGCCAACATAGATTTAGAGGGGGGCGGGGGGCATAGTTGTGCAACCCCTGCTTTTTTATTGTTTTTTGGAAGAAGTTGGAGAAGTTGGATGAAGTTGTTGCTGTTTTTTTATTGTAGTTTTTGCTGTTATCAGAAAGATGTTTATTTTATTTCTTTTTTTTTATTAATGACAAATGACAAAAAGTTCTCTATTTATCTCGTCTCAACATCCCACGCGTATTTGATCTAAAGTTGTTTAAAGCGACTATAAATCAATAGCACGCTACAGACTATAAACTATAAATTTCTATACGCTGATATTCTGTGAGATCGTGGTCCTTCCCGGTTGAGCCGATCCATTCGTGCTGCGATTATAATAAAGCTGCAGCAGAGCTCTACCACGCATAAAAGTTTTTAGAACAGTAGCGCAGTCAGAACTAGCAACCCTGGCACAAAATGCTCAAGAACAATAGCAAATGACATAAGTGTAATGTGCGGCGGATGTGAGATCGCAAAGTGAGCGCACGCGCCGCTCCTGATCACGACGCGGAACGCTCACAAACACACACAAGTTTACACACACAGAGAGACTTGTGATTTAGTTTTAAATGTTTTATTTCGAAGCGACGAAGTAGCTTAGAAGTTGGACGTTAACTTTAATTTTACGGTAGTGACTTAAGTTTGATAGTTATAGCTGATGCAATTGATTTTTTTTAAAATAAAATCTAACTACTCAGTAAAGTTTCAGCCTAATAGGTTTAGGCTGAAACTTTCTGATTAGTAACAATTTTGTTACGGTTAGAACCGTGGGCTCACCATATTTTCACAGTACGCAAGCAGCTCAGGGTCGACATGCCCTGGACCTTCCGGCTGGTGCAGGTTCTTTCTGGGCACGGGTGCTTTGGTAAGTACCTGTACCATATTGTCGGAAGGCAGTCGACAACTGAGTGCAACCACTGTGGTAGCGATGAGGGCACGGCGCAGCATTCGCTTGAGGAGTGCCTGGCATGGGCTGAGCTGTGTCGTGACCTCCTAGCTGTAGTAGGGGACGACTTCTCACTCACATTCATTAAGGTTATGGTTGAATGCGAGAGAGCGTGGTGCGCCGATGTTACCTTCTGCGATCTGGTCATGTCGCAAAAGAGACTGCAAAGAGGGAGTGAGAAAGAACGGCAAATATTCCACTCCGCAGCCGGAGTGCTGGGCGTCGGAGGACAGCATATCAGACCCTTCTCCAATCCCCGTAATTTAGGCCTAGGCGGCGAACACGGGGGGTTGTCCGTCGTCTTATAGCAAGGCCTCAGTGGTGCGTACGCTGTGTTTCCAGTGCGTTCCCTAGATAAAAAAGGGGTGGAGGTGGAGAACTTCAGCTTTACTTTGTATAAAACTAAATTTACGGATCCTATCGCGTTTAATTAATTACTTTTACTTATTTTTAATTCCCGACGTTTCGGGTGCTTTACAGAACCCATGGTCACGGGGGGGGGGGACTGAGATGTTTGACGTCCCAATGTCATTGTTAGCCCGGCTACCTTCAGTTTTTGAATATTAATTTTTGGTCCGATTTACGCAAAACGAGCTTACAGTATCTTGAAGTCTTGCAGTGGTATGCTTGGGTTTGGGTTTAATTTTGTTAATTATAGGATCCAAAGCAGATTGCAGTGCCCAACCATCTTCTCTATAGAAATTAGGATGTTTTTTAATTTCAATAGCCTCGCGTATCATCCTTGGTAGGAATCGGTGTTCTTTTGCGAGGATTTGTGGTTTATGAAATCTGATGTAATGGTGGGGACGATCTTGAATATGTTCACAGACTGCAGACTTCCCGGAGCGTCGGTGCTTCACGTCAGCTATATGTATGTACATATATATGCACATACATATAGCTGACGTGACAGTGCGTGCAGCTGACGTGAATTTGTTTTATTAGTAAATTTAGTTTTATTCAATGTGTAGTGTTCGCGTAAATTGAAGAAATCATTCAGCTTTACTACTTCATCGAGAAAAAGCCTGCAAGAGTTACCATGGTGGTAACTCTTGTAGGATTCTTCAAAGCTGCGGTAGTGTGCGAAATCGTTCCCGCAGTCCCGACAAAGAGCGAAGCGACGAACACCATGGGGTTTTAGCCAGACTGAGTCTGTCTTTACACCTAATAGTGTTGATGCAGTCAAGATGGTAAAACATTCTGACTTAGGCAAGCGCCTATTAAAGGTAACTTATACTAATGAACCTTAACTATGAACAAATAAAAAAGTTGTTCTTCCAATACTTACCTTGACAGTATCTTAGAGACGCAACCGTGCGACACTCGAAGCTGTCGACTGATGTCACAAGGTCTCACACCACTGTGGGCGAGCTCCACTATTCGCTGCCGGACTACATCGGGCAGTGGCCTTCCGTTGACAAATACTCCACCCAGTTGGTTTACTCCACCGTGACCTGGAGAAAAAAATACTCCGCATGACTATGATATCCTGGTACATATTGCTTATGTCAATAATATCGTTAGTAGTCTGAATTTCTCTTTACTTTGCCTCTTGATATTATTCGTGATAGAGCCATGCTGCAGTTATATTAGTAGTATAGTTGTAGCACGAATGGGTCGGCTCGACCGGGGGAAGGACCACGCTCTCACAGCGTCAAATAATAGCTTAATGTTTTTTTTTTTACTGGAAATGAGGCATTCCATCTTAGTCCTCACGGGTGACAACGCTTCTGCATTTTGATTTGTATTCGAGGATAGATGTAGATGTCTATGGGCCACAGTAACCACTTACCATCAGGTGGACTGTGTGCTCGTTTATCACCCCATCCTAAAAAAAAATCTTCATAATCGCAAATCTATGAACAGAAGGAATGCCTCAAATCACAGACCCGCATGCATCCATCGGCTTCCCTCATTTTCACCAGGTCTTTGCTCCACTTAGTGAAGACCGCCCTTTACATTAAACTGTACATTGAACTTATAAATAAGAAGTTTCCACTAAGTATGCACCGTTTCAGAACCTTTCTTATGGTACGACCCATTGCCACTCCAGTTATCTGAACATGTAGGTTATGTTAGTTTCTCCGGTTGTATTGCGGATATCTTCATTTCATTTTCTATTCAGATAAACTAGAAAAATAACACTTTTTAAGCAAAACACATTGTATATCTTACTGTAACATTGGCATAACTGTAATTAAAATTTACATTCTGATACTCTACAGTAGTTTAGTTGGCTACGAAGCCTTTGTGGTCATAAAAAGCGTTGGTCTTAAAAATATTGAAAAACAAGAGTAGAAAGCTTTTGAAACTATAAAAAATTGTATTTTATCACTAATAAATATTTACAATAAAGTAAAAGATGGCGCATAATTAATGAACCGTGCTGTTCGGCCATGAACCGGGTATTGACCGGGCAACCGGGTGAAACCGGGCGTGCCGACGCGCAACCGAGCAAAACCGGTCGCGATCGATGCCCGTGCGACGGCTTGTTGACAAAACGTGAGGTACAATGTTATCAGATTAGAACGTTGTAATGTTAACGGGTCAAAATAAAGTTTATGTTGTCAAGGACATGTTTGATTAACGATTTTGTGATAAACGAGCACTGTCTGAAATGGTAAATAGATGTTGTTGCCCATAGACACCTTTATCCTAGATTAAGAATCAAAATGCATGGTCACTCCTTGAGACTAAGATGGTGCCTCAATATATGTAAATAAAAAAAATTAAATCTCTTTATTTCAGACACAACATCCATAATGGTTAGTAGGTCTCTGCTCCTTGATATATCTATACCATATCTTGATATATCTATCGCCAACGCTGTTTCTTCTGCATATCAATGATATATTGCAAACCCGTAACATTCATTGCTATGCAGATGACAGCACTGGTGATGCTCTTTACACCGGCCGAGCCAATATTTGTCGGGAAAACGTCTCCGAGTGCCGGGACAAACTTGTGTCTGAAGTCGAGTCTTTGCTGAACAGAGTCTCGGATTGGGGGCGACTAAATCTAGTCCAGTTTAACCCCCAGAAGACACAAGTTTGCGTGTTAACCGCTAAAAAAAACCCCTTTGTCGTATCTCCTCAGTTTCAAGACACTCCCCTTGTTGCCTCAGCCAGTATCGGAATCCTCGGCGTCGGCATATCGAGTGACGTGCAGTTTCGTGGTCACTTGGAAGAGAAGGCCAAATTGGCCTCTAAAAAGCTTGGCGTGCTCAGCAGAGCGGGACAGTATTTCATGCCGGCACACCGCCTGCAACTTTACAAGGCGCAGGTTCGGCCGCACATGGAATACTGTTCCTATCTCTGGGCTGGGGCTCCCCAGTACCAGCTCCTTCCACTTGACCGCATCCAGCGCAGAGCGGCTCGAATCGTCGACGACCGAGTGCTTTCCGATCGGCTCGATTCACTGGCACTGCGAAGAGATGTTGCATCTCTTTGCATTTTCTTTCGCATATACCATGGAGAGTGCTCTGAGGAATTGTTCGGATTAATCGCAGCCGCCAAATTTCGTGAACGCACTACGCGGCAAGCGTCCCGATACCATCCACACCATCTGGATGCTTGGCGGTCCACCACTGTACGTTTCAAGAGGAGTTTTCTTCCGCGTACAACCTCTCTGTGGAATAGTTTACCACCAGCGATTTTTCCGGACCGATACGACCTGGGGACCTTCAAGAAAAGAGCTTACTCCTTTTTAAAGGGCCGGCAACGCACCTGCAATTCCCCTGGTGTTGCGGTTGATCATGGGCGGCGGTAGTCACTTAACATCAGGTGAGCCGCATGCTCGTTTGCCCCCTCTTCTATAAAAAAAAATATGAAACACAGCAGAATTGTGCTGTTATATTTTAAGCTGGTATTCTGTGTCAGCGTTGTCCTACTTTGGTCACACCGAACCATTCATGAGGCCGACATTTAAGGTTATTATAATATTAAAAGAATGCATCACTGATAATAATAACCCCTGGAAATGAAGTTATCGCTACCAAGCTGTTCCTAATGTATTTAATATTCAACTGTAGGTATTACACTATCCTGCTAGGTTTCTTGCTGTTTCTTCAAAGTTTCTTAATCACAGTTGCTGAATACCGGTGTAAAATAGCAGCTTAATACTTCTGTGTTTCGTATGGTGAGTGTAGAGATCCGAAGACCCTTTGTTACTGGAAACGAGGCATTCCATCTTAGTCCTCAGGGGTGACAACGCATCTGCGTTTTGATTCTTAATCGAGGATAAATGTAGATGTCTATGGGCCACAGCATCCGCTTACCATCAGATGGACTGTGTGCTTGATTGTCACCTTTATTCTATTTAAAAAAGGGCAGAAGTTTTTTCCTCAGGTTAGGACTGTGCTTTGTGGTATTTCTTGTCCATACCTATGTTCAGCAGTTGACTTGTGACGAACTGTTGATGATTATGATTACAATGATGATATATGTCCTTTAACCTTTAATTAAACTGACAACGCGAACCAGAGCCAACGGTGTCAGATCGTAAATACTCCTACCAACCGTTATGATTAGGATAAATTCTTCTCACTATGCTAAAGGTATATGGGGGGTTATAGGGGAGAAGACAAAATATAAATCAATAAGAATATGTTACAGATATTAAGATAATTTAACTTCCATCACTCTTTTTATAGAATAAGGGTGACAAACGAGCACACAGTCCACCTGATGTTAAGTGGATGCTGTGGCCCATAGACATCTACATCTATCCTCGATTAAGAATCAAAACGCAGATGCGTTGTCACCCCTGAGGACTAAGATGGAATGCCTCGTTTCCAGTAAAAATGGTCTTTGGATCTCTTCACTCACCATACGAAACACAGCAGTATTAAGCTGCTATTTTGACTCTAGTTTTCAGTGAGAGCGTGGTCCTACCCCGGTCGAGCCGACCCATTCGTGCTACAACCATAATATAGCTGCAGTGTGACTCTACCACCTATAAAAAGAGATGGCGTAATTTGTATCTTTATTTTCATTATTATAATAAAAGTTTTATCTTTGTCTATGTCCATTAATCTTACGTTAATCCTTTGTTGTTACTATTTTCAGAAGTTTTCCGAAACAAGCCGATATCCGAAATCAAAACAAACACCAAGTTATACCCGGTTGTATCGATTCACCCGGGCAGGCGGGGCGTGACCGATCGATGCAGTCGTCACGCCTCGTGCGCCCCCCTTACCCGGGTATACCCGGCACTGGCGTGAAAGTGTTTCTTAAAGGTCTCCTCGCAAGATATCCCTGTTACGTGATATATATTTTTGTCGAAGGAATGAAATGATGAATAGTAAAAATTCGAAGCTTGGTTTAGTACCTCTATACAATGATGTTTCAGGTAAATAAATTTAAGAATTCAAAAATATGTCATTTTTTCTAAATGGGATAAGACGTTGAGGAATTTTATTTCAATTTGGCTATTGGAATTTTTAATAGAATTAGGATGACAAACTAGCACAAGTCCATCTGATGGTAAGTGTATGTTATCACCCATAGACATCTCCGTCTATCCTCGATTAAGAATCGAAATGCAAATGCGTTGTCATCCCGTGTGGTCTTGTGTTCTAAGAAGCAATGCCTCATTACCAGTAACAAGTAGTAAAATAAAAATTTTGTGCAACCGACTTCAATATAAATAAAATGAGAACATCATCGATTTATTTGAAATCGATTAAATACGTATTATTAAGGATAACTCGGAAACTACTTATCAGATATTGTTTAAATTTATATAGGAGCACAAGAAAAGCACCAGCTTTCAAATAAAAAAAGAATTATCAAAATCAGTTCATTCGGAATAAAATTATGAGGTAACACACATTAAAAAAAAACACAGTTGAATTGAGTACCTCCTCCTTTTTGAAATTGGTTGAAAAAATTGTCTGCGGTTCTCTACACTCACCATACGAAACACAGCAGCAATATTCTGCTGTATTACACCGTTATTCTGTGAGAGCGTGGTTCTACCACAGTCGATGCCATTCCTGCAGCTATGTAAAGCTAGCACACCCAAGTAAGACAAAAACACAAAATGTTTTTTACGTATTAGAGTCATGCTGCAGCTATATTGTGGTTACAGCACGAATGGGTCGGCTCGACCGGGGAAGGACCGCTCTCTCACAGAATACCAGCGTGTGCCTTAATGCTGCTGTGTTTCGTATGGTGAGTGTAGAGAACCGGAGACCCTTTTTACTCGAAACGAGGCATTCCATCTCAGTCCCCAGGACTGGCAACGCATCTGCATTTAGATTTTTAATTGAAGATAATTAAAGATGTCTATAGGCCACAGCATCCACTTAACATCAGGTGGACTGTGTGCTCGTTTGTCACCCGTATACTATAAAAATTGTTGTGCATCTAACTTTTAAAACCAAGTTTACACTGTGATTTAGTTTGCTATTATAAATAACAATGACAAGTAATAATTAAAATTGTAATTAATG